CAGGATTTGATGTCCAAGATACAGTTAAAAAGGGCATCAATTGGCCCTGTGTCATCAGGAGACATGGAGATGTACAGTTGTGTATCATCAGCGTAACTGTGGAAGTTAATACCATGTCTCCTGATGACACAACCAAGAGGCAGCATGTACAAATTAAAAAGTAAGGGACCTAAAATTGAGCCTTGGGGTACACCACATTTAATTTCATGGATCTCTGAAGAGACTTACTTACCAAGAATTTTCTATCTGTGAGATAGGAAGTGAACCACTTAAGAACAGTGCCAGAGAGGCTGACCAGCTGTTGGAGTCTGTTTAAAAGAACAGGGTGTTGGAGGCAGCGCTTAGATCCAGTAGCACCAGGACTGATAACTTGTGTGAGTCCAAGTTACACCTGAGATCATTAACGATCTTCAGCAGGGCTGTCTCTGTACTGTGATTCTTCCTAAATCCAGATTGGTATTTATCAAAGATGTTGTTATTATTTACAAAAATTATTAAGCTGAATAAAAACAGTTTTCTCTAAAATTTTACTTAAAAATGGTAAGTTGGATACCGGTCTGTAGTTGTTAAGAACATTAGGATCTAAATTGTTCTTCTTCAAAAGGGGTCTCACCACTGCTGTTTTAAAGGCATTGGGGAAAGCACCCATTTGAAGAGAAGAATTCACAATGTTTAAAAGCTCATCTTCGAAGAATCCATAAAATGTTTTAAAAAGTGATGTAGGAATTGGGTCTAAAAGACAGGTTGTTGGTTTCACTTGGAAGAAAACTCTACCAAGTGTCTCAGGATCAACCAGGACAAAACTGTCCAGTGCTTCCTCAGATAAAAACAAGCATTCAGATGTGTTAAGAACTGTATTTTGATGGGATAAAATATCAGATCTGATGCCATCAACTTTACCAAGTGGGCTGCAAAGTCTTCACAAAGGGAATCTGTGCTTGGAACTTGTTAAAATCAGGGTTGATTAAAAAGTCGATGGTGGAGAAGAGGACTCTGGGATTATTTTCATGATTACTGATTATACTGGCAAAGTAAGTGTTTCTTGCTTGTCTGAGTGCATTATTGTAAATTTTAAGTTGCTCACGGAATATTTGGTGGTTAACTGTTAATTTGTTTTTCCTCCATCTCCTTTCTGCTATCCTGCAATTTCTTTTCAGTTTTTTGATTTCTTCATTTCTCCATGGGGTAATATGACTGTCTTGTACCAGCTTTGTTTTTAGTGGAGCGACTGAATCAAGACTTGACTTTAGTTTACTGTTAAAATCTTCAACAATAAAATTGCAGGAAGCAGGTAAAATAACTGGAGGACATTTATCTAAAACTTCAATAAAATTTGCAGCCACTTCAGAGGTAAGATATTGCTTCCTCACAGTTCGCACCGAGGTCTCCCGCTGAATAAAACCGGTGATATTGAAAAACACACAATAATGGTCAGACACAGCCAAGTCAACAACAGAGGACACACTAGTGTTACAAGCTGTGGGTGATGATGAGATCCAGAGTGTGTCCTCTGTTGTGACCCTCATCACGTTAGCTTTGGGTCATGGCTTCAACCTTAAAAGATTAAAAGATTTATGGTTGACTCAAGTCAGACTGTTTTCTCCCTCACTACTGGGTCAGTGTTTAAGAGTTTGTGTTTGTCAGACCTGATGAAAAGAAACTGGCTGAAAAGCTAAAATATTGAGTGTGTTTCTGTCTGCAGGGATCCCCCAGATGATGATAATCACCAAAATTGATGAGGCCTGTCCTGAAACTGAGAAGACCCTGAGGAATGTGTACATGAGCAAGCACGTGAAGCAGAAGGTAAGGTTCTGTCTTTCTGTGAGTCTGAACAGAAACATAACCTCATGTTATTTTACTATATTTGTACTATATGAGCACAGAAACACTGAGTCACGCTAATTTATGGACTGAAACCCTCAGATGAAAGACTTCAGCTCAGCCGTGGGAATCCCAATGAACTGCATCTTTCCTGTGAAGAACTACAGTGATGAAATCGAGATCAACGATGATGTTGACACCCTGATCCTGAGCGCACTGAGAAAAATGATCGACTTTGGAGACGACTTCATTGACAAAATAGAAGAAACGAAAGAGGAAAAATAAATCAGAATATAATGCAGTGGGGCTCCTGGGCATCTTGTATTGCTTTGAAATATTTACTCTCCTATAGATCAGCTTCATTTAATGTTATCTCTGCTGAGTCAACACACATGTGGACACAATTTACTCCTCAGTCCTCCTTAGTGACTTTTTTTTGTAAGTAACATCTTTGAATGAGCATGTGGAGCCTCATGTCAGTTTATCAATCCCTGGACTTTAAGAGCTCATACATGTTGTCATGTTCACAGAGGAAAAGTGGGAAACTTGGATAAGGAGAAAATGTCTTATTCAATACACAGAGCTGATCCGTCAGAGTTCTGTCAACTTACCATCACAGTTTTATCAAAGTGTCATCAGTGTTCTATTAAAAGTTCTGTGAGATTTTGGTCAAAATAAAGTTTTCTCAGAGTTCTGTCGTCATTATGTGAAAGATCCATCAGAGTTCTTTAAGAGTTTAAGGTTCTCTCTAGGTTTTATCCAAGCAAAGAGTTCTGTCACAGTTCTGTTAGAGTTCTGTCTGTTACACTGGACAGGCAGACAGTGTGTGTGGTGTCACGCTAATGTTGTGAACAGAGTGCTCCATGTTGGCGGTGGGGTTACAGTACAGGCCATCAAAGCTCAGTTTGTTGTTTAAATGAAACTGAGACACATCTTCAGGCTCACACTTTATGTAAATAGCAACACTTAAAACAATACACATTAAATCATTTCTGTCTTTATTAGACAAAATCAGGAGACACAGGAGGACATGTGGTCGAGACTCAAACCAGGATGTTTCCTCCTCTGTAGGACGGAGTCTTAAACCTCTTCATACACAATGTGCTGCTTTAAAAAACACCATGCTGTGGGTCGACCCACTGAGACGTTGCGTGAAATATGTCTCTGTACAAAATACAAATATTAACTGTTGAACATTTTACGACAATACATTTCTTTATGTACAAGACACTCAGCCTAAAGAATAATTCATCTTGTATCTGCACATTTAAAGTCCAGCTGAGGCGTGGCCCATCCTAATGACTGAGAGAACATATATTTTCTAAACTTCTGTTTTTAATGATCAAAATTAACCCTTAAATACACAATAAAGACTAAAACAAAATCCCTTTCTGAAAAAGTAAAAGACATTTATAATGCTCATTACGCTTAGACTTCCTTAAATAGAATTTAAGCTGTCAGAGTTTAAATGAGTGGATGTATCAGTCTGACGCTGCACAAGCCACAGAAGAAAAAAAACCCAAGATAAACAAAATACTACGTTTCATTTTCAGGTATTTGAAGCCACATATATATAAACATGTGTGCTGATTGTATTACATACAAACGATGGCAGGTAAATAATGAGCTTTCAACCAGACAAGCTCCTCCCCTCACACAGCGTCACTGGGTACGGTTACATGATGGCTTCTCATTCAGAATGAAATAAATCTGAATGAAATCATTCGGAATTAAAGTCTTTCCAGGTAGTTTACATGAGAAATATTCATTCTGAATGAGGGTTTACACAGAGATCAGTTTAATCGCCTTTATTTGGGTCAGTGCAAGGTTTGGGGCAGGGAAGGTTTCTGATTGGATAGGGGGCATCGCGGATGT